AAAAGCAGTTTGTATCCCAGGAAAAGAAATTTCACTTTCCTGATTTCTAAGGAGCACCAAGAGGGTCCATAGTCGATTGTACTAAAGCTCAGCATGGATGTCTCATGAGTTTGTTCACCAAATCACATGCAAAATTGTGACACTTAAGAGATTAGCAAAGATCAGACATCAAAATTACAACTAAAGTACCGAACACCCATCATTCAGAACATCCTGAAAGTCAGCTGAATGCAAGTCCTGCATCTAGAGATTTAAAGAAGAAGCCACATCAAGTCCGGTAGGAGGGATGGAGATGTGGAATGGTCTAGTCCCACACCCTAGTGTGCCAGATGAAAATTGGGAGGGATATCTCAGTTGTGGAGGGCCCCATGAGGAGTGAGGGGATCCATCCCCACACCAGGCCCTCCCGCCCAGGGTTCCAAAGCTAGGAAAAGAAGTCTCCATAACTTCTGGCTGTAAAAACCAGCCGGGCATGTGGCTAAGTGGGACAGAGCTTTCTGGAGTCCTAGGCAGTTCCTCTTAAAGGGTCTGTACACAGATTCACATGGACTTACCCTCTGAGCTCCAACACTGTGGCAGCAGCTCAAAAGGCACCAGGGACATAGAGGGAGGAACTGAATTATCTGGCATCAGGGCAAGAGCTTAGGGGGCAAGTTTTTGCCAGACAGAAGTGCTGGCAGAGGCCATCGTTCCTTTTCTGAGACACCCCCACCATAGAACCAGCAGGTGGATGTAGTATCTGAGTCTCCACCAACCCTCATCATACCCATTCCAGTGATTCTCTGAGACGTTGCTCTACCCCAATTTTGTCCCCCCAAGGCAGTTCCAGTGGCTTTTCCATACAAACTGCCTATATTGGTTCTTGATTAGACTTTCTTAAAATCTTTTAAAGGTTCACAAATGGCAAACAAGAAGCATTGGGCCTTGGCATGCCATGTACTGCTCGCAAACTGGTCCCAGGCCTGGCACTAGCAGCAGCTGGCCTTGGTGTGCAGCTTGATATCTCCTGGCCACCTCCAAGCCCAGCACAAGTAGTAGCCATCTGCAGATCACTCTGCAGGTTGTGCCAGGTGGCCCCAGGTAAGGCAAAGTCAGTAACTGATTTTGCATCTCCTGGGACACCCCAGAGCCAGTGCACCCGATGGAGAGTTTTCCGTGCCAGATTATATGAGTGACACACTAAAGGGACAGACTTGGTGAGCACCAAAACCCCACTGAGGCAAGCCCTGCTCATTAGGGTCAACTTATACACAGCAACTTCTCTACTGTAGTTGCAGCCAGTCCTCATAGCTAATCAGCCTGGAGGGCATTTCCTCGAGTGATGCCAACAGTAATAAGGCTTGACTACAACAGGACAGTGCACACAGCCCACACAGAGGTGCACCAGGAATTCCCAGCTCAGGTAACAAGGAAGGCTGCACCACTGGGTCCTACAGGATACCTACTATACAAGGTTACTCTACGAAGTCAGGAGACGTAGCCGCTCTGCCTAATACACAGAAACAAACCTAGGAAAGCAGTCAAAATGCAGAGACAAACAGGTCCCAAATGAAAGAACAGGAAAAACCTCCAGAAAAGATCTAAATGAAATGGAGGTGAGCAAACTACCAGATACAGAGTTTTGAACAATGGTTGTAAGAATGCTCAAGAAAATGAGCGAGAATTTTAACAGCATGAAAAAAACATAGAAGCCAACCATAAAAAAGAACCAGTCAGAAATGAAGGATACACTAACTGAAATGAAGAATAATTTACAGAGAATCAGCAGTAGAGTAGATGAAGCCAAGAATAAAATCAGTGATTTGTAATATACAGAAACATAAAACACCCAATCAGAATTGCAAAAAGGAAAAGGAATCCAAGAAATTGAAGATAGTGTGAAAAGCTTCTGGGATAGCCACAGGTGTACCAATATTTGCACCATGGGAGTGCCACAAGGAGAGCAATAGATCCAGAAACTGAAAATGTATTTGGAAAAATAATACCAGAAAATTTCCGTAACCTGGTGAAGGAAACAGACATATAAGTCCAGAAAGAACAGAGAATACCAAACAAGATGAACTTACATTGGCCCACACCAAAACACATGATAATTAAAATGCAAAAGCTTAAAGGCCAAAAAAAAAATATTAAAAGCAGCAAGAGAAAAGCAGTTATTTGCCTACAAGGGTGCTCCCATAACACTGTCAGCTGTTTTCTCTTTTCAGACCAGAAGGGAGTGGCAAGAAATATTTAAAGTGATGAAAATAAAAAACCTACAATAAAAATTGCCCTAGCCAGCAAAGCTATAATTTGGAGTCAAAGGACATATAGAGAGTTTCTCAGACAAGAAAAAGCTAAAAGAATTCATCACCACCAAACAATATATGAAATGATAACGGGTCTTCTTTAAGAAGAAAAAAAAAGATAAAAAATATCAACAGTAAAATGCCAATAAATACATATCTATCAACAATTGAATCTAAAAAAACAAAATAAACTAATAAGAAGAAATAAATACATAGACACTAGGAACATTTTGACTGTTGCCAGGTGGAGGGAGGATGGGAAGAGGGGTGGCAAAAAGTGAAGGGATTAAAAAGTACAATTTGGTAGTTACAGAATAGTCATGGGGATGTAAAGTACAGAATGGGGAATACAGTCAATAATATTCTAGTAACTATGAATGATGTCAGATGGGCATAAGATTTATCAGATGATCACTTAGAAAGTTATACACTGTCTCATAATTATGATGTACACCTGAAACTAATATAATGTTGTATGTCAACTGTAAATGAAAAATGATTAAGTGGAAGAAATAAATTAGTAAAAGTTAATTTAAACTATAAGATACATATTATTCTGTTATTAACCAGCGTTATACAAATGGTTATTAAATAAAATTGACTCGCTGTTATCCCTCACTCAAAGGTCCCTAAATTTCTTAAAATGAGATCAGGTTAATATTAAGTTCAAAAACACTACAGAATATGCTGAGGTGATTTATAAAAAGAAAAATTCCTTCTCCCAATTGAAAGACTAAGAAAAACTTGTAGTTAGGATAAAGAATCATGTTTTTTTAGTAAAAGCCATGCCTATTAATTAACAATTTAAATGGTCAGGTAGCACGGCTAAATTATGTCTTTGAAAGCCATCTTTTTTATAGACTAATTGTAGTTAATCTTCCTAATGTCTGGTTGTCATCAGGTCATTTCTGACACTAATCATGGGATGATATTCACTCTCAAAGCTGAGATCCAAATTCAAACATTTACTTTTTAAATAAACCTTCTATGATTCCCTTCCTATTTCCTCTGTGCTTCATGAAAATTCCAGGACTTTTTACCTGACCCTGTGCAGTTCACTCCCTGCTCAGTATGCTCTGCTTTTATGTCTCTTGTCCAAAACACACAAGAAGCTTTCTCCTATAACAATCTTTCCCCTAAAATCTAGTTCTCCTTATTCAACCATTTACCAGCTTCTTCTTGATTCACTTTCTTTGGCGTTCCTGAAAATATGCCCACTGGTGTCAAATATATATGCCCAAGAATTTCATCTGTTTCCACTAGCTGAGTGAACTTAAATAAGAAACTTACTTTTAATCTCAGTTTTTCTTCTATAAAATGACCATTCTACAACTAACTCACAGGATTATGATAATAAAGATGAAATAAATGAGTTAATAAATGTAAAATTCACCTTAAGCAGAAAATTCAACTTAGGCAATATTTCTTAAAGGGATTTTCAAGAAATTTTTAATTCCACAAAATATTCTTTAATCAAAAGAGATTCATGGTTAGATTAGTTTATTAAACAGAATATCCAATGCTAACTTTTCAGTCAGCCATGATGTACATTAAAATATTGAAGACTCTACAAATTCTTGTAAGAAAACAAAACAAAACAAAAAGTTGACTTAACATTCTCTGCATGGACTTCACCAGAGAACCTTTGTGTGCATAGGAGCTATTTAAAATCCTGCAGATACAGTGTTCTAAGGAAGGCATTTGAGAAAATGCTGACTTGGACAAGAACCAGTTATCATTTTAGAAGTTATTTCAGCCTCAGGTTTCTAACAGTTTAAAAAAAAATTTGTAAAAGAGACTACCTCCTAATGTTCAGAGACATCACACTCTCTCAGAAAAATGAACCACCTTGTCCAGTGGAAGGCTGTGCGAGAAGGGTAGTAACATGGTATTAATGTTCCAAGGCCAATTATTTTTTTAAAAATCTCTTAAAGTATATGAAAAATTTCTATTTTTCATGTGATGCCCAGTAATTGCTTATCCAGATAGCAGCAGATGTGAAACTTCATCCCAGGAGAAAAGTTTAACATAATATGTGAAAATCTGATAAAGAGCGGGAAGAACTCAGAGGAGACTCAGGAAATGGATAGGCCCCTGCCTGTGGTGGAGGTAGGATGGAGGTGTGGTCACTGCCTGTGAGCTCCAATACATCCACTTTCAAAAGCAAACTCTTTGTCATTATGAGGTAAAGGGCAATAATGGTGTGTGGAGCAATTGTCTCAATGTCCCGAACTGAAGGCCACCAAATTTTAGATGTCACAGTAGGAACTTTACAATCATTTTATTTTTCTCTTTTAATGGGAGTAAAAATCAGTATAGCTCACATTTTTTTTGCTCATATTGGCATGTTCTTCTCTACAATGACATCCTTAATTCTTCACAAACATAGTCATCAAAAAGTGCTTTCCAAATAAATTAGCATTTCTCAAATCAAATTAGTCATTTCTACTTATCCATGTTTGCAGTCAGTTTATTAAACAGAATAAACTTAGCTTTCCTATAAAAAGATGATGCTGTGAGAGCAAAAACTACTATCATGGTCATTTTCTGAACAATGTTCACAGTTTTCTTAAAACAAAAGTAAGCAAAATAACTTGTCATTATTGATCTCCCCAATTTCGGTTCTATTTTTCATAGGCTATAAACATAAACATTCAAATTTATTTTAATATAAATACCCCAAATTAATACCCTAAATTAAAAGTAAGATGTGTGTTTGCTTTGGAAGCACATATACTAAAATTGGAATGATACAGAGATTAGTGTGGTTGCTGTGCAAGGTTGACATGCAAATTCATGAAGTGTTCAATATTTTTATGACAGAAAACTTTCTTAACTTGATGAGAAAAAAAAATCATGCAAGTCCAGGAAACACAGAATGTCCCAAACAAGATGAACCCAAAGAGTATCACTCCAAGACACATCATAATTTAAATGGCAAAATTTAAAGACAAAGAGAGAATCTTAAAGGCAGCAAGAGAGAAACAGCTGTTTACATATGAGAGCGATCCAATAAGGCTGTTAGCCAACTCACCAGAAACACTACAAGCCAGAAGGGAATGGTAAGAAATATTTCAAATAATTAAAATCAAAGGCCTCCAACCAAGATTTCTCTACCAAACAAGACTCTCATTTAAAATGGAAGGCAAAATAAGGAATTTCCCAGACTTAAAAAAAGGCTAAAAGTATATTTCCACCAAACCAGCATTACAAGAGATGCTAAAGGTACTGCTTTAAGAAAATGAAGAAAGAGAGAGAGAGAGAGAGACAGGAGCATAGGTACAAAGGGAAAAAATGGCAAAGAATAAGTACCTATCAACAATAACCCTAAAGGCAAATGCATTAACTGCCCAAATCAAAAGACATAGAGTAGCTGAATGGATAAGAAAACATTATTCACACATGTGCTGCCTCCAGGAGACCTACCTCAGAACAAAAAATCTACATGGACTGAAAAAGAAGTGATGGTAAAAACAATATTCTAAGCAAATGGACAGGAAAAAAAACTGGGGTAGCAACACTTATATCAGACAAAGTAGATTTAAACACAAAAGTTATAAAAAGATACCCAGAAGGACACTTCATAATACTTAAGGAAATAATCTATCAAGAAGATATAACCCTTGTAAGCATATATGCACCCAATATTGGAGCACTCAAGTACATTAGGAAAACCTTGGAGGACTTCAAGAAAGATAACCACAGCAACACACTCATCATAGGTCACTTTAACACCCCATTGTCAACAATGGATAGATCTCCCAAGCAAAGAATCAGCAAGGATATTGTGGAACTGAATGATGCATTTGATTAAATATATATAAATATATGTATTTATATATATATATATATATATTTGATATATATATAAACTTTCACCCCAAAGAAGAAAAATATACATGTTTTTCAAATGCACCTGGAATATTTTCAAAGATAGACCACATGACAGGACACAAAACAGGCCCCCCAAAATTCAATAACATTGAAATCATAACAAGCATTTTCTCGAACCACAAAGGCTTAAAACTAGAAACCAACCTCAAGGGAAAAAAAAAACACTTCAAAGACACTCAAATACATGAAGAGTGAATGAGCATGCTAATGAATGGGTTAACAATGAGATCAAGGAAGAAGTAAAAAAGTTTCTGGAAACAAATTGAAATGAGTACACAACAGCCCCAAACCTATAGGAGACAGTGAAGGCAATACTGAGAGAGAAGTTCACAGCAATACAGGCCTACCTCAAAAAGAGAGAAACATTTCAAATAAACAACCTAACCCTACATCTACAAGAACTACAAGAGGAACAACAAACAAAGCCCAGAACAAGCAGAAGAAAGGAAATAATAAAGATCAGAGCACAATTAAATGACATAGAGACTAAAAGAACAATTCAAAGGATCAATAAATCCAAGAGCTATTTTTTGAAAATATGCCCAAAATTGACAAGACTCATCAAAAAAAAAAAAAAAGGAGAGGACACAAATAAATAATATTAGAAATGAAAGAGGAGAAATTGTAACCAATACCACAGAAATACAAAGGATTATAAGAAATTACTATGAACAACTCTATGCCCCAAAATTTGACAACCTGGATGAAATAGACAGATTTCTAGAAACATATAATCTTCCAAAACTGAATCAAGGAGAAGCAGAAATCCTGAATAGACTAATAACTAATGAGATTAAAGTAATAATAATAAAAACTCCCTGCACACAAAAGCCCTGGACTAGATGGCTTCACAGGCAAATTTTACCAAGTATTTAGGGAAGAACTAACTCCTGTTCTCCTCAAACTATTCAAAAAAAAAAAATTCAAGAACACGGAAGACTCCAGAACTCTTTTTTGTCAGGCCAGTATTATCCAAATTCCCAAACCAGGAAAAGGCACAACAAAGAAAGAAAACTACAAGCCAATATCTCCGATGAGCATAGATGTGAAAATCCTCAAAAAAAAAAATATTGGCAATCCAAATCCAGCAATACATTAAGAAGATCATATACCACGATCAACTGGTATTCATTCCATGGATGCAAGGATGGTATAATATTTGCAAATCAATAAACATAATACACCACATAAGCAAAATGAAAGACAGAAATCCCATGATCATAACAATAGAGGCTGAAAAATGCATTTGATAATGTAAGTACCCATTTATAATAAAATCGCTCAGCAGAGTGGGAGTAAAGGAAGCATACCTCAATATAATAAAGGCCATATTTGAGAAACCTACAGCCAACATCATACAAATGGGCAAAAACTAAAAGCTTTCCCCCTAAGATCAGGAACAAGAAAAGGGTGTCCGTTTTCACCACATCTATTCAACATAGCATTGGAAGTTCTAGCCACAGTTACCATACAAGAAAAAGAAATAAAAAACATCCAAATTGGAAGGGAGGAAATAAAACTGACATTATTTTCAGATAACCTGATAGTGTAGGGGTGTCCAACCCATGGCGCGAGGACTGCATGCGGCCCAGGAAGGCTGTGAATGCAGCCCAACACAAAATTGTATACTTACTTTTTAAAAAATATATATTTTATTGATTGTGCTATTACAGTTGTCCCATTTTTTTCTCCCTTTTATTCCTCTCCACCCTGCACTGCCGCTTCCCTCAGCACGCCCCACCCTTAGTTCATGTCTATGGGTCCTACATATAAGTTCTCTGGCTTCACATCTATGCTATTCTTAACCTCCTCCTATCTATTTTGTATCTACTATTTATGCTGCTTATTCCCTGTTACCTTTCCCCCCATTATTTCCCCTCCCTCTCCCTTCTGATCTCCATTTCTATGATTCTGTTCCTGTTCTTGTTGTCTGATTATTTTGTTTTTGTTTATTTTTAGGTTCAGTGGTTGATAGTTATGAGTTGGTTGTCATTTTACTTTTCATAGTTTTTAATCTTCTCTTTCTTAGACAAGTCCCTTTAACATTTCATATAATAAGGGCTTGGTGATGATGAATTCCTTTAACTTGACCTTGTCTGGGAAGCACTTTATCCCCCTTCCATTCTAAATGACAGCTTTGCTGGATAGAATAATCTTGGATGTAGGTCCTTGTCTTTCATGATTTTGAATACTTCTTGCCTACCTCTTCTTGCCTGTAAAGTTTCTTTTCAGAATCAGCTGATAGTCTTATGGGAACTCCTTTGTAGGTAACTGTCCCTTTTTCTCTTGCTGCTTTTAAGATTCTCTCATCATCTTTAATCTTGGGTAATGTAATAATGATGTGCCTTGGTGCATGCTTCCTTGGGTCCAACTTCTTCGGGACTCTCTGAGCTTCCTGGATCTCCTGGAAGCCTATTTCCTTGGCCAGACTGGGGAAGTTCTCCTTCATTATTTTTTCAAATAAGTTTTCAATTTCTTGCTCTTCCTCTTCTCCTTCTGGCACCTATATGATTCGGATGTTAGAATGTTTAAAGTTGTCCTGGAGGTTCCTAAGCCTTTCCTCATGTTTTTGAATTCTGTTTCTTCATTCTGTTCTGGTTGAATATTTCTCTCTTCTTTCTGCTCCAAATCGTTGATTTGAGTCCCAGTTTCCTTCCCTTCACTGTTGGTTCCCTGTATATTTTTCTTCATTTCTCTTTACATAGCCTTCACTTTTTCTTCCATTTTGTGACCATACTCAAACAATTCAGTGAACATCCTGATTACTAGTGTCTTGAACTGTGCATCTGATAGGTTGACTATCTCTTCATTGCTTAGTTCTATTATTAGAGCTTTGGTCTGTTCTTTCATTGGGGCCATGTTTCTTTGTTTCAGCACACCTGTTAAGTTGGAAGTGGTGGAGTCTTAGGTATTCACCAGGGCAGAGCAACCCAGGTTGCTGTGTTGTGATGCTGTTTGTGGGGGAGGTGTCTGAGAGGGAACAATGCCACTTTCTTGGCTCTCAGTAGGCTTTCCATCACTTTCCCCACTACCCACAAGCAAATTGGGCCCTTCTGGTGCTTATTCCCAGGTGGGTGGGTTTGTGAATGTTCTAGGACCCCATGGGTCTCTCCAGTGGACTCTTCCATGAGACTGGGAGTTTCTCCTGCCACCTCAACCCCCACAGGTTTTTCCAGAGGTTTTGAGGCTTTCTCTTCCTGCACTGAAATCCTGGATTACATGATCTGTCTCGCTCTCCAGGTGTTCCTCACAGTTTATCCACTCACAAATGTGGGACCACCAGGTCCTTCAGCCGCCTCCTTGCTGCACATCCTCTCTGCCCCAGCTGCCCGTCTACACCCTTCCTACTAGTCTGGATGAATGTTTCTTCTTTAGATTCTTGGTTGTTGGACTTCCATTTGATTTTCTGGCAGTATGGTTATTTTTTGTTTTTAAATTTGTTGTTCTCCTTCTTTTGTGTGTACAAGGAGGCAAAGTATATTTACCTACATATCCATCTTGTCCAGAAGTCCCCAATTTAATTAAAATCTTTTTTTTTGCATGTCAGTATTCATTAGTGTTTGCATATTTATTGTGTGTGGACCAGGACAACTCTTCTTCCTCCAGTGTGACTGAGATATGCCAAAAGGATGAATACCCCTAGTGTACACAGAAAAACTCTATAGACTCCACTAAAAACCTACTCAACTTAACCCAATAAGTTAATTTGGAAAAATAGCAGGTTACAAAGCCAATATTCAGAAATCAAAGGCATCTTTGTATATCAACAATGAAATATTGGAAGTAAAAATCAGAAAAAAAATACCATTTGCTATGTAACAAGAAAAAGTAACAAGAAAAATAAAGTACTCATGACTAAATTTAACCAAAAGGGTAAAAGACCTATACTCAGAAAACTACAGAACACTGAAGAAGCAAATTA